ACGACAGGAAACACTCCACACCACTGTCCTTCAGGGAATACAGCACTGAGGTGGATTTCATCAGAAATCTCTGTAAATCACAGAGAGCTGAGGCAGTGCAAGGTGCCAGTGGTGCGAGAAGCCAAACCCGGCAAGAAACTACTTTGTTAGGCCTGCTGTATTCCCTGTTGTCAAACTGGCCTCCATCTGTCTTGGAGGATGTATTCAGTCTCGCTGCTTTGGTCTGATTCTGTGAGATAATGATTCCCCATTTGACAGACAGACAAACATATTTGTTTATTTATTAAAGTATTACCCCATGTATTCATTTAAAATATCATAAAGTGCAGCAAATCAGAAGTGTTGTTCAAAAACACCATTATCGAGGAAAAAAAGGTATAACTACAATGTAGAATTCACTTATTATAGGTAACTTATTTTGTGCACATTTCATTTAATATTGTATTTTAGGCGATACCATGATGCAGTGGTGGAAGATTCAGTATTCAGTTTAGTAAAAGTAGAAATCAAAACTATGTACAAATACTCAGTTGCAAATAAAAGTTCAAACTTTTATTTTGAAAGTTCAAGCTTTTATTTTTACCAAAATAAAAGTATGTCAATCTAGAATTAGTAAAAGTAAAAGTCACATGAACTATGACTGTTTACACTGAGGTCACGTTGCAAAGAATCAGACCTGAATCTGATTTGGACCACATATGAAAAAATCTGATCTCATTCATAATGAGCAAAAAAAAAAATTTCTAAACTTTTATTTTTACCAAAATAAAAGTTTTGAAGTAACATCAGCAAAATGTTAAGTGTAGGAAGTAGGCTAGTTATGCAAAATGACATCTTTCAGACTGCTATATTTATTATATGTATGGTGGTGGAACATAACTAAATACAGTTACTCACTACAGTACTTTACTTCAGTACAATATTGAGGTAGTTGTACTGAAGTATTTTTCTTTTAATTTCATACCTTATAATTCATCTACCTTATAGGCTTTACATTATTAGTAATGTTACATAAACACATGTTATAAAATATGATGGTTTAAATGAAAATGCCCCCAATAGTATAAAAAGCCTTGAAAAGCTCCGACATTATAATGCTTCCTACGTATGCATCAAGTATAGACCTATAACATTTTACTTTTTAACGATTACTATTAAGGTTACATTGTGTGTAAGCAGCATGTTAGTTGTAGTTGAAGGGGGTGGAGGTGGAGTTTGTTTTAACTACTGTTGATCAGTTTAATCTAAAATAGTGCTTTATAAATATAAATGTAGTAGAGTAAAAAGTACAATATTTCCTACTTAAATTTAAGCAGATGTATAAACTAATATTTAAGTGAAATACTTGAATAAGTGTACAGTTACATTCCCCCACTGTATGTAAGTGTTATGTTGTATAACTTGTCTATGAAACTGGTTATAGGCTTAATTATATAAAAAACACATTTTAAAAATATGTGATAAGTTATATTTTATATATAACCTCACCTTTTAAAATATAGTTTTACAATATTACAGCTTTATTTCAATTAGAACGCTGCTAACAAGAAAGCTCTCTCATGGAGACGTCATATAGTGTTTTTATTATGAATTTTGTAATGTTTTCTGACAGTTCTCAATAACAATTAGTCAGCATAATCCATGTCATCATTGTATCAATAATTACAGGTAATGTTCCAATAGTAACATAGTAATAATATAAGTTATTAATCAATGCAATGTTTATTCCTTCTTAACATCACACTCAAAAACGACAGGCTTTTATTTACTGACAGGTTTAGCACTGCACATTGATAGGCTACACAGACAGACAGCAAGAGACACAGAGGGAGAGGTGAAGGGAAGAGGTGGGGGAGGCAGGGGGGAGGGGGAAGGTGAGGAGAAGCACACAGTTGTACATTTATTGAACCAAAGATATCGGATGGAGTGAAATATAAAAGAAGAAAAAAAAGAAATTTTTTGAAATGTGAAAAATTTACCTGGAAGCAGGAAAGATAAAATGAGTGAGACGTATCACAACAATGTGCCCTCCTTTTTCTGTGAGTCAGATATTGACAAGTTCTTAAATTACAACAATATTACACACAAATTAAGAGACACTCATCAAGCCAGGGATTATCATCCTTATCACTACTACTATTATTATTATTATTATTATACTGTTTTCTGATGCTGTAAAGGTGATTACTCAAATGGATAAAAAAAAAAGATTGCAGAAAAAGAGTGGCTGCAATAATAATAGTAATAACAATAATATCATAATATTCATCATTGTATGTACAGAAAATTCATTACAATCAATACAATCAAAACTGCCCAAGCTGAGCTGACATTCTGGAAACAGCAGGGGTAGCATTATGGAGTGTGTATGTGTATGTGTGTGTGTGTGTGTTTGCATGTGACGTCTTGCAGTTATTGTAAGAGCAGTGTGCAGTGAGTGAAACAGTGCAGTGAGAGTCATTTAGAGACATTCCAGCGGTCACTGTGAGAAGGGGTCAGAGGTCAGGTTTACTGTAGATGGTGATGTTTTGTCACTTAATGGCACAAGCTGAAACTTTGCAAAGACTCCAATCTGAACCAGAAACCACAGAGACATTATATCATCGGAGTATTGCACGAGTACCGACTTGTGTAAAGGATGAGGTGTATGGTTGATAGTCCTCAAATCTTCTCATCTTATCATCAGCCCCACATAAAATATAGTCAAGAGCTGAAGCACTAAAGTAGTCACATTACCAAAAGAAAAATACCTGCAAGCTTAGTAGTTTTTTTTTTTGTTTTTATGGGTAAAGTGTGAGAGTGACCTTAATGTCTGACTCCACTGTCTTCACTCTGCGGTTAACGGTGGTCGAGGAATGTGTGCAGAGAGGATGCAGAGAGGGAGGGAAGGAGCTTGTGCACAGACTTCTTGAGTCAGTCTAATAAGGAAGTGCAGAGACATGTCGGGATCAAGGCTTTGTGTCTTTGCCTACAGATCTTTTCAAGGCCTGCGTGTTTTTCAGATTTTTTCCAGTTTTCTTTTTGTAAAGATTTCATTCTGTGTTCAATAACAAAAGATAGAATACAATCTTTTTTTTTTTTTTAAACAAAAAACAAAACGCAGTCTCATTCAACCAGTATTACACTATACATTAGACATGTTACCGTCTTGTGATTTAGAACTGGTGCAACACATACAATTTTGGTGGGGTTTGCTCAGGCGGTTAAATTACATTAACTGTATACATTGTGCCATTGAACATTTAGGTGGAGAACAACTGCCCCTTGTTGGCTATAGGTCACATATGGCGTTGAGTGTCAAGAGTATTACAGTGACTGTGTTGTGCGTAGTGTTTGTAAGCATACATTCCTTATACTAGTGGTGTCAGCAGTCGTTGATATTAAAAGTGTTGGAGTGTGTGACTGGTGGTCCGGTTTGTGGTTTCCATGAGAACTGGTGCGGAGACACAGGTGGCTCAGTAGCGACGGGCGTTGCCGTCCCTCCCCTCCTTCTTGATGATGATTCGCTGGTCGTCGCTGGCGTCATCAGGTGACTCTGCTACCTCCTCATCCTCTTCCACCTCTCCCTCCGTGTCCGCGGAGATGCCCATACGAGACTCATAGGACTGAGGGAGAGAGCGACGTGCGGATGAAGTGTGGTCATTTATTACCATCGCATCATTAAAACATCATTAACTTATCAGGTTTTTACCTCCATAGGGTTGACGATGATAGTCAGGGCGGAGTCGTCCCATTGGCTGCTACCCTCCTTAGCCCCGCCCCTGGCACCTTCACCGCGGCGATGGATGGAGCGAATTCGGAACACACCGAGGATCACCATGACAACCAGGAAACCCACACACACCATTATGATGACGGTGGCTGCTCCTGGTACCACTGTAAAAAACAAACAAACACAGTGATGATTATGTGTAATAAAATAAGAATAATAAAGGAAGTTTGGTGTTATATATATATATTCTTATTGTTAACGAATCCCATTGAAAGAACAAAGCCAACAATTAAAGTACTGTCTGTGTAGCCAAATGTCTAAGCCTGAGCTTCTCTGTGCCATAGAGCGCCATTATTGTCCAAAAACTATTAAAAACACGAGTGAGGCACACCCAATTACTGAATGCCTACGAGTTCATTAGAAGCTGTGCACAAAAATGTTCCCCACTGTGGGTATGAAAGCATGAAAAATCAAACTATTATCCAAACATTATCCAACCTAACTATCTCTTTAAAGGCACATTTAAAATCTGACATTTGCTGCAGTGTGCAGACTCTGTGGGCAACATGATTCAGTTTGAATAATCCCATCAGCTGTGTAGCTGTAGTTATTGCACAAATTAAACAGCAGAGGTACGGCAGACTATCACACTTTTATTAGTTGCCCCATCGTGTGCACTGTTCTTTACACTGGCTCTGCATGTTCAATCAGGCACCTGCCCGCGTCAGAGTTTTGCCGCAGCCCTTTATCACCAGTAGGTCTCTGGGATCTTTTGATTAACGTTTGTTGGTTGTTCCCTGCCCAAAGCATAAAGCTAAAGAAGACTATGCTTTTGAGGCTGCGGTTCCCAAACTTTGAAATTCTCTCCCTTTGGACTTAAAGGGGCCCTGTGGATATTTCTTGTAAACAAACTAAAGTTATGTTTACATTCAGTGTTACTCACCAAAACTCATTGTGTGGTATCCTTGAAGTTTAGTTGAGATTGCTTTTTCATAAAACATTTGCCAAGCGTAGTCTTTAAGTATTTTAATCCCAGGAATGTTTACATCTGTGTTTACTAGCTTGCAGTTGTCTCCTTCGCTGCCTCATATCTTGGCCTGTTACCGTCATCTCTTGATCAGTGTGTGACACCATTGGTAGGACTGTGTATGCATGTGCATGAGATAAACAAAACAGGGACCCACTTATAGAACAGATCCACTACTAAAGGTCTAAAACTTCACAGGGAACCTTTCAGACCTGTGAACACTTAAAAAGTCTTATTTTTTCTTTTATTATTTTTATTTCCTGGACTTTTCTGCCTTTAATGGATAGTGACAGCTAAATATAGACAGGAAAAGGGGGAGAAAGATGGCATGACACGCAGCAAAGGGCTACAGGCTGGAATCAAACTCAGGCTGCTGCGTAAGAATCAGAATCAGAATCAGAATCAGAAATACTTTAATAATCCAAGGTGTAAATTACTTAAATAAGGACTCAGCCTTAGTACATGGGGCAGGAAACAAGGTGGGAGACATGCAACAAAGATCTCCATCTTATAAACTGTGGATGCTGCGACCGCGTGGTACATACCCCAACCATTAGGCTACCCTATATTGTGAATGTTTTATATGTTCTTGTTATCTTTTATTGTGGGATTGTTAAGATGATGTATAATAACTTATTTAGTAAACTACAGGACAGGAAAACCAGATGAAATGTCACCTGAGTTGCGGTGAGGATTGGGCAGGGTGTGTCCACTCAGCTCTCCAGCGTGGTGGGATGGATGGAGAAACTGCTGCTGGGAGGCCAGCAGGTGGGACGGGTGGTACAGACTGTCCAGAGAGTGGAGGAAGTTCACCTGAAGGAGGGAGGAGAGAAGCAGAGAAGAAGAAAGGATGACCTCACGGCTATGTGGCTGTGTTGGTGCCTCGCAACATTCTGCAGTTCTCTCGGCTCTTTTCACAACAACTAATTAAAAATATGAAACTCCAATTTCTAGCTTTCACACATATACTGTTCACAAAGGTCAGGGCTGAACTTTCATGCTCATATCTAAAGGATATGTCTATTTTCATGTCACACCATAAGGTGTTATGTGAATTTTTCTCACCTCCAGAGTCAACTCATTGCTCGTATATCTGCCATTCATCTCAGAGCAGGACAGGCGGAACCGCCTCTCAAAGCGGGCTGAGCCTTTGGCTAGTCGGTAGCGGACTGAGCGAAGGACATCCTCGTACACAGAGATGGATTCGGCACCTGGAAGGAGCGAAGAAATAAAAGAGGACGGGAGAAAAAAAGGAGACAGGGAGTCAATAACTGCAGACAGGGGGAGGAGAGAAAAGGAGTCTGCAGCTACTTATTGACAGCTGGGGGTGGCTGTATGGGATGGATGACTTTACACTTTCAGGTCATTGGGAATCTGTTATATTGAATTTTAAAGAGCTGAGTGTAAAAGTTTTAAAGGCCCTGAAAAATTTTCTAAATCAGTGTTTTACTGTGAGATATCAGTCAACACACCAAAGTTTATATAGTTTGGAATATTTCAAATGAGACATTTCTGTATTTTGTGCTTTTCTTGTTTTTAACTAGGCAGGACTTGTTGGAGCAAGTCGATGTCACATATTTTGTGCACCAGTCAGTATTTAGCAATATTTGAACGTTAGCTGATTTTTGACTGTTTAACTCGTAAAAAAACAGCTAACAATGTGTTTTTCCCCAATGTAACTCTAACAACTGTTTAGTAATGACTATTTAAGGTTGCAGAGAAACACAAACAGACAATAAACAGACTATTTAAAGTTCCAGTGTGTAACATTTAGGAGGATCTAGAAAAACATACCTATGAATTTTATACAGAATATAAAATTCATAGGTATGTTTTTATTAGTGTTTAATCACCTGAAAATAAAAACTGTTGCATTTTCGTTACCTTAAAATTAGCCCTTTTTATCTACAGAGGTAGTGGGTCCTCTTCCACAGAGGCCACCATATCAAACCACCATGTTTCTAAAGTACGGACAAACCAAATACTAGCTCCAGATAGGGCGTTTTGCTGTATTCAAATGGTTGCAATCTGCAACTTCACCACTAGATGCCACTAAATCCTTCACACTGGTGCTTTAATTCAGATTTATAGACACATTTTGTGTCTGGATATTTTTAACGTTTATTATGCTATCCTAGTTTAAAAAAAACAAGACGATTTTCTATGACAGTTTTGAGTGTCTTTATGCACAGTACCTGTGATGGCAATATAAGCGGTAGTATTGATGATTTCCAGCCCCCTCTCTCGCACAACATCCATGTCTACCAGAAGCTCCTCCCTCTCAGAGTTTAGCTCCTCCCCTAGCGGTTGGACCTCACAGCCATCCAAAGTGTGGGCCACGGCGTCGGACATCAGAGCTAAGAGGCGGTGGAAAGGTGACAAATGACAACATCATTTAAATCATCATAATAAATTTAAGAAACAAAGGAGGCAGACCACAAATGCTCGTCTCAACTCACTTACATATACAGATGTATAGACAAGTGTTTGAGGACTATGGGCTAAACAAACATGACAAATCTTTGAAATCTCCTTAAATTATTCCATAAATAAAGCATTGGGGTTACTTAATCTGGGACTCACCTCCGCCCTCCATCCCCTGTGCAGCCGTGTTGACAGCATGGGACAAGGAACAGACAATTCGGAGCTCAGGGAAAAGGGGGACACCACGGGGACCTTCAAACTCAGGGGCAGGACGAGCCAGATGAGGGCCGACCCCAGACAGGGAGATCTGAGGGGCGTCAGGCTGGAGAACCACCAGGTATCCTTCCAGCTGCTTGAGGGACAGGCAGCTCTCCTCGTTGAAACATCTGGCAGGAAGGAAGGAAGTGTGTGTCGTCAGAAACAGAAAGATAGATAAAAGGAGATGTGAAAACTGCCATTGGTTAGATAACTCAGCAGTCTGCGGTGTATGCCGAAGCAACCTTTTTGCCACGCTAGCAATGTGGCTTTGTTGGTTGGTCCAGACTAAAATATCTCTGCAAATCACTGGACATTCATGATGCCCAGACAATAAATCCTACTGACTCTGCTGATCCCCATCCTCTAGCGCCACACTGAGGCTGACATTTTTGTTTTGTTTACTGAAATATCTCTCTATCAGGTGGATAGCAATGAGATTAGGTTCAGACATTATAGAGTGCTGAAAGGATGATGTATTTTTGTAGGCCAACCCGGACATTAACAGTGCCCTCGTTCCCTAGACAGAAAGAAACAGTTTATGACACTTACTTGTTATGTTCAGCAAGATAATCTCCACAAATGAACACCACTTTTATGAGCTTTGAAGCGTAAATGCAATCACCATTAGTAAAAAGCAAAAGCTAGGCTATAAACTACACTATGGTTAGTTGTCTCATTAAGCTTATTTCAGGCATGTAATCAAAAACCCATTGACGAGGCAACCAGAGGAGCAAACATCCTAACTAATTTCTCAAAGATGAGGAGTGGTAAACTCAACTCTTTCTAACACCCCCAGATTTTAATTTTCTCATCATATTTGTTCAGCTCGGACTGACACAGACTGACTCACTTGAGGCAATTTATCAGACTTTTCCCAGCTCCCTCTAGAGCCACAAAAAAGGCTTTTACAACCCCTTTTCACGTGATAATCCCCAAGACCTGTTACCAGACCGATGACATGTTAGCATTGTTAGCGTGCGAACATTTTCCACGTGTTAAACTAAGATGGTCATCATCATCATCGCTGTGCTGATGTTAGCATTTAACTACAAGCATCACTAACATGACTGTAGACTCTGCCCTCAAATTAGCAGCACTGTGGCTGACTGATGTTAAAAAAGTTGGCACGATGAACGAGTACAAAAAGCTCTAAATCCAGTGTTTTCTCAATCTAGTTCCCTAATTTCACTGTGACTGTGTAGTCCGTGGTGACACTTAAAATAGCAAATGTCAAACCACAGTAGCTCTGCCATTGCAAATTTAATTTCCCTGCCAGAAAAGGGAGAGCAAATCAGATTGATGACAGGCTGCTTACATATATTTATTCATCTGCACTATAATTCAGCATCATATTTGAAGGGAGGGATTAAGCAAAGTGTGTGTGTGTTTGTGTCTGTGTGTGTGTTACATTTCCACTATCAGAGTGAGCAGCTGCTTCTATCGGCCTCTCCAGAAGGGCCTGCTGTTCAGCCATCTGGGTAACTCCTGGCCTAAAATCAGTCTAATCTTCACACACACAATAAAACAAGCTGGAGAAAAAAAAAAAAAACTCTAGAACACTTGAGCAGAAACCAAGAAAAAAAATCTGTCCATGACCTTGAATCATTGGGAACAGTCCGTGGAAGAAAAAAAAAAAAAACTCCAGCACCGACTTGTGGCCTGGTAATCAGTTTAATCTTATAAACATGCAACAAAAACAACAGTCCCAGAAGGCAGTAATAAGAATATCTGCACAGGCTGAGAGGTTGATGAGATCTGATTTGTCGGCAGGCGGCTAGTTTAAGTATAAAAGCACAATATACCACACAGTATATGCACTGGACTGTACTTTCCAAGGTGAATTAATAATTCATCAGCTAAAATTGACTGCTAAAGCCAGAGAGCCAGTTCGCAGTTGTTAAGCATGGTTGAGCACTGACCCGGAAACAGAGTTTGTGTGCTTTTTTATTTTCACAGTCAGGTGATTCAGTGTGACGCCCACTGAACCAGGGATTCTTGTGCTGTCAGTGTGTCTGGCAACATTAAGGATATAAAAAGGAAAACATCTTGGCAGTAAGAAAATAAGTGAGTATAATGATGAGGGACAAACAGGAATGACTCTTCTTATTTAAACTGGGCGAGACCTAAAAAGGGGAACAACTGAAACTGTTGCTTGGAGTTAATCCTTGAACAACCTCAGTTACTATAAAACCAGGCAGATTGAATTTTGCACCTGTAGTCAAAGCAAAAGTTACTTGAACTAAGAGATAAGATATTCCTTGTTATCTCTTGCTTTGACATACTCTGTATATAATCATCACTTCACTAAGAAACACCAGTTCTTATCACAGCTGAGGCAAGGTCCATGTTTGATGAGTTAAATGGCAAAGGAGTAAGCAGCAGCAGAGTTCAGAGAGTGACACTTGATTAGCCTGCTACAGACTCACTCACTTGTGATGTCCAGAGATTTCCAGTGTGATCATTTATATTTGTGGTGTCACTTCCCTTCCTCATATTCTGTTGATTCAGTTAGTTTCTTGTGTCATGCTCTTGGTTGCAGTTACATTACATTCACACTACTGTCAGTATCAGTATCGCTGCCTCTTCTATAACTGATTTTTATCTGCATGGTTGTTGACACCCAACTGTAAAAAAAAAAAAAAAAGAGCTCTTATCCATATATGTATGTGTGTTTTTGTACCTGAGTGAGGTGGTTAGTTTGAGGGGTCGGACTCCGGGGGTGGCGAAGCGTAGAGAGTTTCTGTAGGTGACCTGCTGCACTGCACGGTTAAAGCTTTCAATGTCGTCTCCCTCCAGCACTAACACAGACTGGCTGGGGTTCACGTGAACCTGCAAGGTCAGAGAAGAGGCATTCAATAGCAAAGAAATAATAGTATTACCTTTTGGCCCTTTTTACACAGTAGTATTAATATACACTCTGAGTAATCATATAAAACAAAAATGTAAAAAGTATAAACACACCGAACCACCACTAGAGGAGGTTAGAAACACAATTTGTGTTTGCAATTAAAGGACAGGCCCACAATTGTTCAGGTTGCTGTAATAATTCCTCCTGTTGAGACTTGACAAATTGTGAAACTATTGTTTAATCTATAACTCCTTAACATAATGCAATAGAACAACAAACAAAACAAAAAACACCACAAACTTGTAGCTAATCAGCAAGTGATGATGCATTTCCTGTTATGATTAAAATTTCGATTTAGGTTTCGATCGAGGTTTTTCTTAACAGGGTGTTGATTGGTTTTGGATTTCTAGGTTGGGTACTTAAAGCCAGAAAGGGTTAAATGAGGTGTTAGATCTGAGCTCAGTGGGTTATTTGTAAATAATAACTAATTTTTTTGAGAACAAAATGAATTTTATCTAAATGAGGAATGTAGTAAAGTCAACCAAAGACTGATTATTTACCCTTGTAAATGTATTCATCTCCTAAAAGCCAACACAGTAAATGTTATTCTACAAAGATGATGGTAATATTGTTTTAAACATAGCTGAAAACCTCTGGTGATTAAAGCATGTTGTACTGAAGAAGAGTAGTGTAACACGTTTTAATTAGACAAACTTTTGAACGGGGTTCATTCCAGATCTTAAAAGGAACTCTTTTAACATCCTCTCTCTCTGTATAACATGGCAGTCTTTTGTTCTCTGAGGCATTACCTTCATACCAGAGCCCAGAGTCTCCAGGTCTCCGAAGTCCAGACCCTCCCTGCAGGCGTACAGACATTCAACCACACTGTGAGGCTCCACGCTCCCGGGGCGTACCGTCACCCCCGACAACAGGCCATGGTAACCACCGACATACTTCACTAAAGACAGCAACACAGTCCAGTATGAACACCACATTTATATTCAAATGAGCACATAAAGAATACACCAACAATGACACAGCAAAATAAACAGACTGCACACCCAGACTGCACAACACTGTGAAAACAGGGAGGTCACCTGAGTCTTTACCCTCTGGGATTGTGTTGTTTAGTATCTCTTTCTGCTTCTCTTCAGGCTCTGCAGTGAAAACAAGTGAGGGGCAAAGAGGAACAGAAAAAGAGAAAACAATAAGGCACACGGAGAAAGATACTTAACTGTAGTAAGGTATGAAAATAAAGTGAGAGGAAGACTGAAGGTGCCAGAAACTGACAGGAAGAACGAAAATAAAAAAATAACACGAGCAGGCACGAGTGAGAAAATGCAAGCAAGAAAATTGTAGACGATATTCAAAAATGCACCATCTCCTCATTATCTTGCAGCAGCTGTTGCCAAGCAGGCAGCAGAGAGACTTTCACTGTGTTTGAGAGTGTAAGACCATGAATGTGTGTGTGTGTTTCACTGCTAATTGGCAGAGTTTCCCAATTTAACCAGCGGTTCGGGTGTAAGTGGCTGATAGCTGTCTGGGCCTCATGTTGTTATGCTGCCCTGAATAATTGATAAGTCAGTTATATTATTAGCCCCCAAAGACAAAATGCATCAACCAAATGATAACTGAGTGAAATGAGGAAGTGAAAATGGGAAAATGTCCCAGCCGATTGTCTTAAGATGCCTTATGAGGGTTCGTGAGTCGCAGGTGCTTATGCCAGAAATGGCAGCCCACTATCTTTGGTGCCGTGTGATTTAAACGACATTTCAGTGACGGAGGAAGCAAACTGCACAATTGCTGCACATAGCATTTATGCAAAAAAGAGAGAGAGAAAAACAGGATTGCTCACTCTCTGCTTGCATTCATTTCCGTCAAAATCCATCATTAAACCAGAATAAAATATATGTCAGTGGTGGATTCGCTGAGCATAAATTACGGCGTTATACCCCAGCAGGCGCCGATGAACATCCTCTGGCGGGGGGCAGGGTTGGGGATGGCTCCGTTGTCGTGGATGAGGGCAGGGTCGAAGGTCACACCATCGACATACAGGGTCACTGACGGGAACTGGACGCTGAGTGAAAGATGATGCCACTCGCTGTCACACACCTGTTGGACAGAGATAACATGGAGTCAGTGTGAGCTGGAACAAAAGGTGGATCATCTTGCAAGGGGGTGAAGGTCTGGACATGCACTGGTTTGTGGATATCAGAGGTGGAAGAAGTATTCAGATCTTTTACTTAAAGAAACAGATGCTGATTGTAACCCCTCGCCTCACCCAAGCGTGTTGGAGAACCTACTGTGGCCATGAAACTCACAAGAAAGGCAAAAAGGACCTATCTGGAGCCAGTGTTTGGCTTGTTTGTTCTTGGCTACTGTAGAAACATGGCGGTTTAACATGGCGGCCTCCATACACGAGGACCCGCTCCCTCTGTAGATAATAACGGCTCATTCTAAGGTAAAAAAAACACAGCGAGTTTTATTTTAAAGTGATTATACACTAAAACATACCTATGAATATTATATTCAATTTCTGCCAATAGATCCTCATAAATGTTACAAACTGGACCTTTTAATGTTTCATGTTTTTTTTCTATGAAGCAGTTTGTAAAAGTACCAATACAGCAATGTAAAAATAATCTGCTACAAATAAAGATCCTGCATTCATAATCCTACTTAAACAACAAAAGTACATACAAGTACACACAAGTATTATCTGTAAACTGAAATATTATTATAGATTACTCCAAAGGGTCGCAAGATAAATCTGAGGGGTTGTGAGAAAATGAATGCAGCAGGAAGAAAGAAAAATAAAGCTCTGTTATACAAATGGTTTCGCTTTATGGACGTTTCTTTGTGAATTATTGGATGATTTTATCTCTTTGGGCCTCAAACAGTTATTTAAGATTTAAGAAGTCATCTGTGACAACGTGACAAGTGGCCCCAACTAGACACTTGTAAGGGGAGACATCCAAAAAGGTTCAAAGCCACTGGTTTATTTTTTAACCATGTGTTAGAGTTGATAAACTCTTTTATATGTGTGTGTTGAATTCTTATGTAAAATATGAAAAGTTACATGCAACTGTAGCTGTCAGATAAAGTTAGTGGAGTAAAAACTATAATATTTTCCTTTGAAATGCAGTGGAGTATATCAAATCATCATATCATGAAATGGAAATACTCAAGTAAAACACAAGTCATTGTACTGAAGTAAATGTACTTCCACCATCTCAAGAAATTCCTGTACACATTTGTCTGATCTTTCTCTACAGAGAGGGCAACGACGGAAGGAATACAAAGAAGAATGAAGGGAATTATAAAGACAGAGGGGCAGGAAAGAAAGACCAGGGTAATAAGATATCGTGGTTCAGACAGGGGGATTTGACAAATCTTCTCTGTATCAGCTCAGCATCCTTTAATCCATGCTGCTTCAATCTGTCTGGGACCAGTGGCTTCAGTCAAAACAAACCCCCTTCTGCCCCCCCACACTAAACCACACATGCTTCAGGTATGTCACTTTGCTGCATGGAACCATTTTACATATTTTTATGTTTCCTGCACCGCTGCATGCATGCATCACCGTTAACCTTCACATGCATGTTTTGGATGATAAATATATATAATAATAATGTGCCCAGCTGAGATATTTTACCACTTTTACCACATTTTTTTTTCTTACTGGGAACTTCAAAATACTTAATTTATTTGATAAAAACATAAATGGATTTCGTGAATATGGAGTTATACTGAGTTGGCTGTTTACATAGAGACATTTAAAGTAGCCAGTTACTTGGAGAAAGCCGTGGAGGTGAGAAAAAAGCCCTTAATTAGGATAAACTTTGGGCTTGTAGCAGTTCTTTTCATGTGAGTTTTTGCCACATAATCATTTGAAAGTACATAAAAGTACTTATAATGATGCAATTGGTGCTCTTAGTTTCTTCTTTTGTTTTGTGTATTCGGGGAAGATGTTGCATTCCATCCATTTTAATTCAATTTCAAGGTATAAATACAAAAGAAACAAGTGCAAGTGAGAACATCAAAGCTAAGAGTTGCAGTTCCCCCAGTACCTGCTCCAGTTTCCACAAGAACTTGACGGGCCGTGCGGCTGAGACGTCGGGCCAGTAGAAGAGAGAGAGGCGGCAGCCATGGACGGAGAGGGAATAGTGGGAGAAGGAGTCATCTGTACAGGAACAGAAAATAATTGGTGGGTCAGTGTAGTCTTGTCAAACTGTCTCAAAGCAAGAATTTCTTCAGAGAATAATCACAGGAAGGAATAAAAAAAAAAGTGCACAGCGTTTATTATAGATTTTAATCTTTGTTTTATCTTCCTCACTTGTGAATTTTATCACGGTTTTTACCGAGGGAAGGTTTGCTGAACGTGCTGCTTTTTTGAACTGCAGCCCAGTTGAAAGTATTTACGTGAAACACAAAATATTCTGCCTTGCACAATTACAGTGCTTTACTGTTCTTCTGCTGTCCACTTGGCTGCTCATGTGGAGCAGCTGGGTTTCAAGTGTCTCTCTCAAGAGCACCTTGATAGTAGTTGTTGAAGCTATAAACAGTTTAACTTTTTTTTTTTTCCCCTGCAGTTCTGGGGATTTGAGTGCTTAACCTTCTGGGGGTGTTAGTTGTCGGATGAGTGAATGAAGTTTCCCTTACCAAAATAGCACACTACATTGTCCACACATTTGAAAACACTTCCTTCCACATACTTCCATACTTCCACATTCCTTTAAATGCTTTGAAAATCATCACTAAATGATATAACGCACCGTTCCTGACAGTACTGCACACAATAGTCTCTTCCTCCTTGCGATTTCCTCGGGTCTGAGTGGTCGACGGCTGGATGTTGGCGCCACCCCTGCGCATCCACAGTTGCAGGGTGAAGTGGTCGCCCGATAATGCTGTGACGACCGAATCCGGCACGACGGCGACATGGTTGGATCCGTTGAAGGAGAAAACCAGAGATGAATCTGAAGAGGGGAGAGTGGGCAGAGCTGAGGTCCAGTTGGCAGCAGGAGAAGGAGGTGGGAGGAGGTCTACCTCACCCCTGACAGCACCTGATGAAGGAAAGAAAGAGATGATATTAATAATAAAAAAAGGATCCTGCCCTCTGAATATTCACATTTTTATCTGTTAACCAGAACTCACCACACAGTCGTCGCACAGATCGGTCAGAGTAGCTGTCTCTATCGCAGCCCTTCCCAATGTGGCCAGTCTGGAGCTCTACGGTGGCCTGGATGTTCCACACAGTCTCTTCACAGGTCTCCAGATGCAGGCTGGGGAACAGGGGGATGCTACCTGACCCAGGTGTGTACTCCACACGCTTGGTCCATCCTGAAAAAAGGTAACATGACATGCCAATCACAGCCTGACCCTCTTTCATACAACTTTTAGATTAAAAAATGATGAGAACTTTATGAGAAGGAGCAAATAATATATGCATGACATTTATGAAGAGGTGGAGCCCTATTAAAGAGATATGGTTATTTACCTCCCACACATTCATACTTTCTCTAATTACTGGCGCCTTATTTTTAAGGTGTTTATACCTGAATAACTGTCAAAGCTGCTGGAAACTGACATGTTAAAATGCAGAGGTGGCAAAAGTACACATATTCTTTACTAGTAGTAGTTCCAGATACTTGTACTGTAAGTATTCAACTTCTTTACTCAAGTAAACATGAAAAACTGTAGGCTCTAAAATGTCCTTATAGTATAAAAGTAAAGTAAGTACTTGGTTTCTCTAAAGGAAATTTCTACTGGCCGTTTTTGTTCAAATCTCTCCAAATAGAGTCTTCCTTTGTTTTTGATTTGTTATTTCATGCACCAATGATGATGATGCAAAATAATAATAATTGATAATTTCCCTCAAAAGCATTAAAACTGAAGTAATGAGCCTGTTTTGAAAATGTAAGAACTAGAAAGTGCAGATAATTGTAGGGGGTAAAAGTAAAAAGTTGTCAGAAAAATAAATACTACAAGTACAGATACCTGAAAAAACTACTTAAGTACAGTAACAAAGTATTTGTACTTAGTTACTTCCCACTGTTATCCTACTGTTAAAATGTGAGATTGTGTTGATATTGGTCTGCACTTCTGAAATTAAAATAATAATCCACAAACCAGAAAGTCTGCTAGTAAACTGTGCCTGCTCCTCCTGTAGAGGAATCTAATGTCAGGGAAAGTGTAGAAGTAGTATGTATGATTCTATAAATACATTGTCACAGTTTAATTAATTACCTTCCCTTGATATTACTTAGCATCAGCACTACCACTTTAAAACTCAGCTCTTTATATAAACATGCTAATGTGATTCATCCGAACAGCAGCCCACGCACATTCCAACTAAAACTGATACTTTCAACCAAAAAAAGCAGCAGATAAAACGACTAAAACACATCTCTGAAGCCTCACAAGAGTTCTCCGAGGAAGATAATCAGGACAGAAAGAGAGAGTGACATTGTTTACCGATCCAGCCGGGTTTGCAGGACGGCTTGACCGTGATGACAACCTGGGCGTCAGCCTGAGCGCGGTTCTTTCCACAGTCGAAGGCAGTCACCCAGAAGGTGTGAACACGCTGACGCTTCGAATCCAACGGCTCTGTGTTCTTAATGTTACCTAGGAGACGAAGAGAGACAAAGAAGGAAAGGATGAGAAATAATGAAACAAAGAATAAAAGGGAAACAGAAATAGAAAGGGGTTAGTCATCAACAACAAGCTTTGGTAATTGAAAGCCCGGCACGAATGAACACTCATTGATAAAGCGTCTAACACTGCACAGTAACAAAGCCCTTATCCCGCTCAGCGCACTACATTCAGGAGCAGAAAGAGAAAGAGCAAAAAAAACAGAGGAGGATAAATTGCGCAGAGCAAAATGAAAACTGAAGGGTTTTTCCTGTTTTAAAGAGATAAAAGGTAACAGCGAGTAACAGTGATAGGCTGACAGCGCTCAGCACGCCAGCTGTCAAACAATAGGTAAGACAGAAGATGCTGTGACATGGCGAGAGGAGAGACAGAGGGATGAAAGAGATAGTGGGAGCAACAGAAAAGACAAAGTAAGGAAAAAAGAAAATAGACAATGACAAGCCCACAGCATCTAAACAAGGTTGGAACAAAAGGTCTCTGTGCTGCTGTACCAGTCTGACCCCAAAAAAAAGAAAGGAGCTGCTCATCCTCCGCAAAACCCACGACGTCCACCACGATTCTGCAGAGTCATACTAAAACAGGGTCCTCCTCAGCTGCTGTGTCACATTTGAATTGATCTCCCACCACCAGCCAGCCAGCCAGTCAATGGATACAAAAATGACAAAGAGGAATTTAGGGAATCTACAAGCTGCCAGGAAACAAAAAAAAGCACGCCATATTAAACCAAACAGCTGCTGCAGTGTTTATGCAGAGACAGAACAATAGTCTACCCACACAAAGTCTATTTTGACATCTTTTAGTTTCACCTGTGAGAGGAATTAAGTACCTGCAATTCGCTCTGTCGCTATGTAGACATCAATATCTCAGCAGCGCCTGGTGTGTGTGTGTGTTTTTATCATGCATTGAGGACATCCGGCGTTTAGGAGCTGAATGCTGAACTGAATATTGAATTTAGTGATTCTATTTGCAACCGAGGCCACACAGAGCAGATAGAGCAGGCAGCATAAAAGGAAAATAATATGGTGACTGGTGGGGATATTGTATTTCTCTAGCAGAGGAAGACAAATATTAATAGGTCTGCGAGTCCAACACCCGTTGATTTACTGCCACAAGATAAAACACATCTCACCATCGTTGTCAATAGCGAAGGGCACATTGGGAGTGATGATGTCATAGAAGCAAATCTGGCTGTACTGCGGGGAGCAGTCGGCGTCCAGAGCCTCCACACGCACGATTCGGTCAAACAGACGCCCTTCTGGGACTGAAGCCTCGTAGCGACGCTCAACGAACACGGGGGAGAACTCATTGACGTCGTTTACACGAACATGCACGGTGGCCCTGAGGGTAGGAGGAGTGGGAAGCAAAAACACAAGCAGAGAGAGATGGATCATTGTAACAACAGGAAGCAGAAAATGGCTGGATGGTCTTTATAGTGCCCAGCCAGAGGATCCTCAGATACGGACTGTAATTACTGTTAAAAACGTTAAATATCTGCTGATTGAACTGAGAGGAGAGTTGACTAACTTGTGGGATTTCTTGCTGTTGACTCCATCAGGTCCCTCTCCGCAGTCGTAGGCCTGGATGGTGAAGCTGTGCTCCCGCTGGCTCTCACAGTCCAGAGGCTCCTTGGACCGGACCAGACCCTCGCCAGTGGAGCGGTCCAGAACCACTGCCTCAAACTGGACTGAACCTGAACCCGAGGGGCCATTATGAACCCTGAAACCACAGATTTCACCTGGGAGAAGGGAGGGAGACGGTGTGAAATTATAGACACTATGGATCCAAGTTTACTGACATATCCGGTATCTGTTTAGTTTTCATCATTCTCTGACTTGGAGAAAGTTATTTATTCTTTTATTTTCCTTTGAATTAATTATTGTAGCTCTTACAAAATGTTGCTCTTAACAAATAAACAAGATTATACAATCCCTGATTTACCCTCTTTGTATTGGCTTCCTGTTGATTTGTGAATTGATTTTTTTAGGTTTTACTCATTACTTTAAAAGCACTCTGGCTCCAGCATACGTTTGTGAGTTTTGTGCCCAAACATACCTGCACTCAACCTTAGATCCTGCCGCAAAACTCTCTAGACTCAATAACTAAAGGAAATTGTGTATTTCCTGTCAGCGCCCACAAACTTTGGCACAGCCTTTTAAGTTATTCCTTTAAATCTATACTGTATTAAGTAGTCTTTCTGTGTCCTGTCACATCTTTTTATTGTCCCAATCATTTGTGGACCAGTGTGTCGGGATTTAGTGGCATCTACTTTAGTTGCAGAATACAACTAACTGAACACCACACTTTGTCCATTCTGCGCTACTGTAGAAACATGGCAGACTCCTCAGCATCTGTAGATAAACACAGCTCATTCTAAGCTAACGAATAAACAACGATTCCTATATTAGGTGATTATACACTAAT